ATGACATGGTGGAGGAGCTTGATTCAGAAAGGGACTCGATTGTCTCGGAATCGGAGGAGTTTGGCGGTGGTGAGTGGGAGGGAGGCGCTGAGCGTTGGCGAGCTAATTTGTGTGCTGGGTTTAAGGCAGAGGCGCTAATAAAACCGAATAGCTGATGCGATTTATTTATAATCTTGTTAATATGGCAGTCAAATTTTAGTTTTGGATCGAATAATATACCAAGGTCCTTAATAGGACCTGTGGAACGAAGAAGAATTTCACTTTCTATAAAATAGTTATAGRTAATAATAGATCTAGCTCTAGAAAAAGTCATTATTTGACATTKTTTAATRTTAAGAGTAAGATAATWATTGGTGCACCAATTATAGAGGATATTTAAATCAGATCGAAGTAAGTCAGCATCYTCCTGTRAATTACTTTACGATACATTTTAAGATCATCCGCAAACATTAGCTTAGAGCAGTTATAAAAATTAATATMATTAATAAAGATACTGAATAATATTGGAGCTAAGTGGGCACSTTGCGGAACTCCAGATGTGACAASAATTGGGGTAGACATATAACATTTATAAGAAACAAATTGAACACGATCCTTAATAAAAGAWGTTAGCCAGTTTAGAAAAGATCCACAAATACAAATTTGTTCTAATTTTGCAAATAAAATCTGGTAGTTAACTTTATCAAAYGCCTTAGCAAAATCAGTATAAATAACGTCAACRCTAGCTCCGGTTAAAAGGGCATCAAAWACAAAATTTTGAAAGACAAGCAAGTTAGTAATTATTGTACTMTTATTACACCGGAAACCATGTTGGTCATSTASGATTACATTTGATAGAATAGGCATGACTTTTGAGCTTACAATAGATTCAAAAACAWTAGGTATAATAGAGGCTAATGATATTGGTTGGTAAYTAGAAATATTAGACAGGTCTGATGAGGATTTTGGAATTGGGTGWACAATGCTAATTTTCCACGCTTCGGGAAAAATACCAGTAGATAGCGATAGGTTAAATAGATATAATAAGGACGTAGAAATGTACRTTTTTCACAAATTACASAAATTACATATAATATATATTCTTATTTATTTTGAAAGGAGAGGGGTAGGTTTTTGATGTAMATTACATATGCTCGTTTCTTCATACYATGGGTGGTACGAGTTTTAAATCGTTTTAGGTTTTTGCATTTTATGCGATAGTTTGCTACCATAAACATTTCGGTGAAAAAAAGTAAAGACGAACAATTGATTATGGTCGTCTAWTRCAWTTAYATGAGCTAACAAATATTTGATGTTTGCAAAATTAATTTGGCGGCAATATTTCAATTAACATTTAACAGCACACCTAATGTCAGCTATTAATTTATAACTTCGTAATTGTACTGCAACTTATAAACTGCTGTTCAATTATTATAATGCGCATATTGTGTACAATTGTATTTAAATGAGGTACTT